GGGGGGTCTGGGAGAGGTCGGGAGACTCTGTGAGGATGAGGACGGTCTGTGTGGCCCCTACTTGAGGGTCTCGACGGGTTTGGGGTCGAAGTTGCCCTCGGCGTCCACCGAGGCCTTTTTCTCGGTGCGGGAGGAGTAACTGGCATCCACATAGTCAGGGGGGAGGGCACCGGCGATGGCACAGAGACATGGCATGGCCAGTTTGTACAGCTCGGCCTCGAACTTCTGAGGGGACAGGGGGGACACCAGGGGTGACACAGTGACCCAGAGCCACCCCAGAGACACGGCATGGTCAGCTTGTACAGCTCGGCCTCGAACTTCTGAGGGGACAGGGGGCACAAACACAGTGACCCTGAGCCCCCCAGGACCCCCCGAGCCACCGCAGCCACGTGGGGACACCTGCGGTGAGGGTGTTTCCCACTGTCCCCATTGTCCCCGTGTCCCCATCGCCCCCTCCCTGTGTCCCCTTGTCTCCCACATGCCCCTCACCCCCCTCCCCGTGTCCCCCAGGTGTGTCCCCCAGGTGTCCCCCCGCCCCCCCAGGTGTGTCCCACCCCCCCCAGAGCCCACCTTGTGCGCCAGGGAGTCGAAGATGCCCCAGAAGAGCTTCCTGGTGAGGTGCAGCTCCTCCTCGGAGCTGACGCCCATGTTGGGCCACCCGTTGGGGAGGCAGTAGTACCTCCAGCACCGCTCGTAGTGGTTCGTCAGCAGCTTTGGGGGGCACACGGGGGGTCAGGGGTTGGTCAGGGGCGGGCAGGGGGCAGGGGGGGAGCACAGGGACCCTCCTGGGGGCTCACCTTGAGGGGCATCTTGGCGAACTCGTTGAGGATGGGGACGTCGAAGACGAGGCGGCGCAGGAGGTGCTGCAGCATCGAGGGGCGGATGTACCTGGGGGGGACAAAAGGGGGGTCAGGGGGGCAATTGGGGGTGCAGAGGGGGGTACAGAAGGAGTAGGGGTCCTGGGGGTTTTGGGGTTCACCCGCAGAGACCCACGAGACGCTCGATGGGCCTTGGGGAGGTGGGTTGGCCGTGAGGGTTGGGTCGGCCATGAGGGTTGGGTTGGGTCTGGGGGTGGTTGCCGGGGTCTGGGGGGCTGCGGGAGAGGATTCGGGGTGGGGTGGGGTCCCACCTGCAGAGCGCCATGAGACACTCCTCGATGGCGTCGCGCTGGGCCTTGGTGAGGGCGCGGCCGCGCGACAGGCGGTAGATGGTGTGCAGCATGGAGTCCACCATGATGGCGCGGTGCTCCGTGCCCGCGAACAGCGGCGCGCACTTGGTGATGAGCGGCAGCACCGCCAGGCACAGGTACCGGTTCAGAGCCAGCGCCATCTCCGTCGTGCTGAACGTCGCCTGCGGGGCCAGAAACGGGGAAAGGGGGGGAGAAAAGGGCAGGAAATGTGAGGGGGAAATGGTGGGAAACGTGAGGGGGAAAGGGTGGGAAATGTGAGGGGGAAAGGGCGGGAAATGTGAGGGGAAAATGGCGGGAAACGTGAGGGGGAAAAGGGGGAAATGTGAGGAGGAAAATGGTGGGAAACGTGAGAGGGAAAGGGTGGGAAATGTGAGGGGAAAATGGCGGGAAACGTGAGGGGAAAATGGCGGGAAACGTGAGGAGGAAAATGGTGGGAAACGTGAGGGGGAAAGGGCGGGAAATGTGAGGGGAAAAGGGTGAAAACCGTGAGGGGGAAAAAGGGCGGGAAATGTTTTGGGTTGCCCCCCTCACCGTGTCGAGGGAGGCACAGGGGTTTTTGGGGAGCCCCTC